CAAGATTGGAGGTTATTTAAATCTGTATCATTGTTGATATTATGTTATTATTTTAAATATAAGTTCTAGTTATTGCCTATGCATATGAGCCTGAATTATAATATTTTTGTTTAATGAATACTAATTATCATAAAATTAAGTCAATGTTATATTTCAAAACATTCGTAATAGCATATACTCATTATATCTAAGCATCTCTATCTCATATCCTTCATACCCTTCCCTATACATAGTTATCAGTATTGTATTTCAAGTCAACCTCTTTTAGTTTCCACATATGAATGGACACATGTTTTACCTGTTTTCTAGTGTCTTATATAATTTAATATATTGTCCTCCTGTTCCATATATTTTACTGAAGATGATTGAATATCATTATCTAGGCTTGATAATGAAACATTACATATAACACAATTTTGTTATCTGTTAACATTTTCATTGCTTATTTTATATCTTACATATTGTGAAAGTTTCATAATAAACATGAATATTCTGGAAATTATTTAATATGTTTATTTCCCTTCCTTTGGACATATAGATAGAAGTGAGATAGCTGGGCCATATGGTATGGTAGATATATATTTTTGCATAATCTTCATATTGTTTCTCTCTGTATTGAGTGCGTGTGTTTGTGACCTTATTCTTTTTGCTTGACATGTTTGCTCATCGCTGGTGCTGTATCACTTGAGCCATGATTCTTAAGGAAGTCTGGAATTTTGCTTGCTAATTAGAGATAGTCAAGAAATATGTGCGTCACTGGCACCAAGGTCCACATTTTTTTATTATATTGCTTATGTTTCTATTAATAGTGTGTTTTATTTCTTGCACATGTTAATCAGCATTTATTAGCTAATGTGTATTTGGGTTAAAGTTGTAGCACACTAATGTATTTCAAAATTTCAGTAGCCTATATTGGGAAATGGAGAGTTTCTTTACTTTTCCTGTAAGGAACTTCAGTTGATACTGCAGCTCCTATTTTTTGGCCAGGGCTCATGTTTGGAATCCATTATCCTTTGATTTCTTTTTTTTTTGTCGGTCGTGGGGCTTGAACTCTGGGCTTGGGCGCTGTCCTTGTGCTCTTCAGCTCAAGGCGAGCGCTCTACCGCTTGAGCCACAGCACCACTTCCGATTACCCTTTGAGGTAAAGGACATGAACCTTAGATTTGTGTTGAATGAAGTACTTATGAACCTTAGATTTGTGTTGAATGAAGTACTTCACATAGAATTTTGGGTCTCGCCAGGACAAAAATCTCTCATTAAACCCAAATAAATCAGGAAAAATGAGGTCTACTTACCTACATAATGTATGTATGAAGTGTCTGTCTGTTCTTTTCATTTTAAGCCCCTTCCTTTAATACACACAGGGACTCTTATCTCTCTCCTTATCTTTTACTTACAAAAACACTCCTATCAATACATTGGAGGACATTTTCTCTGCATTGAGGAATAATTATTCTTGCCTTATGAAAGGTCTCCTTGGTGAGTCCTCCTTTCCCCTTGTCCTTTGTCTTGCCACTTCTATGGTTCTAGTCAGGATTGCACATCCTGACTTACTTTTTTGTTCCCTCAACATTGAGGATGACATTCAAAGTCCTGTCATCCTTGAGTGTCCCTTCAACTTTGAGAATTACACTCCAGGGGGTCTTTTTGCCTTAAAAAGTTGTACCCTGAGTTTGAAGTCCTTATGAATGGCAAGAAGCCTCATCATAATGGATTCCCCCAATTCTGTCCCCCTGAAATTTTTTGCGAGTCCTGAGGCTTGAACTCAGGGCCTGGGCACTGTCTGTGAACTTCTTTTGCTCAAAGCTAGCACTCTACCACTTGGGCAACAGCTCTAAATTCTCCTAGAAAAGATCCTATCCCAAGTGAGTACCCTAAATGAAATTAGGGAGAAATATTAGAAAACAGAGATTAAAAGAGATGATCATTTTCCTCTTGGATAACATGCATAGGGCCATGTTTAAACTTGTTAACTTCAACAAATAAAAGGAAATTCTTCAAGATTGTACTGAAAAATCTGGCCAAAGAAGGTAATTTAGGCAAAAAATTATATCCACCAAACTATATTGAACTGTATCTACTAAATGCTATATACTATCAAAACTATTTCTATCAAGAATGTACTTTTGTCTCTGCCACATTTAGAGTTGCCTAGGATTTTTCCATAGAGATATGGAACATGGAAGCCTGTATAGTCCCTGAGCGGCATCAATTGAACTGTAGTTGGTCTCCTTCATTTTTTTCTTTTTCATATTTCAGACACTGGGTCAAAATTTACAGTCCTTGATAGTAGGTTGTCCATGGTTGTCCTAGACTTTGCATGTCTTCATCCTGTAGGCAAGGGAAGGACCTTCCTGTTTCCATTGACCTTCTGCCTGTCATATGGATATAGGATTGATAAGGAATGTGCTGTTTTTTCAAGTTTTACCTGATATGTCCCAGCCAGGAGGTTATGTTGCAGCTCATTTGAGGTGACATGGCAGATATAGAAATATCAAGATCTAGAAGGAATGAGGAATCAAGTCAAACCTGGGAAATGTGGCCAGATGGTGCACAGATATGAAAACAAATATCTCAAGCTATTTCTGTAGATATGAAATCTAAACCATGGTACAAGAAAGAGACAACCAATAGGTCCTGTAAATTAAATAGTCATTCAAAAGTTGCCTAATCAAAGACAAAAAAACCTTGATATCCTGTCTTTGCACTGCTTTTCCCCTTTGTCTGGAAAGATGCACACAATGTCTCTCAATGGTTACTATAATAAACATTGGTATTTCCTATTTGAAAAAATAAAAGAAAAATAAGACAAGTAAATGCCCCATATGAATGTAGATGCAAACTTCTCAATAAAATACTAGCAAATTGAGAGCTGGGAGCTGGTGGCTCACGCCTGTAATCCTAGCTACTCAGGAGGCTGAGATCTGAGGATCGCGATTCAAAGCCAGCCGGGGCAGGAGAGACCTTGAGACTTCTATCTCCAATAAACCACTAGAAAACCGGAAGTGGCACTGTAGCTCAAGTGGTAGAGTGCTGGCCTTGAGCTGAAGAGCTGAGGGACAGCACCCAGGCCCAGAGTTCAAGACCCACGACAGACAAAAAAAACAGTGCTAGCAAATTGAAAGTAATATATCAGAGAAATTACATACATAGCCAACTTGTTTTCACTTCAGGAATGCAATGATGCTTATACATATGCAACTCTGTGTCAAAATTGTAACATTCAGTGAGTTTGTACACAATCTTTTACCTACATAAAAATGAAAGTTGAAAATTTTATATCAATTACAATGAGTGCTATTCCTTTTTTTAATAATTTGTTTTCATTCAATTTAGATTGCAATTTCATAAAGTTTTCCTTTAATATATTAGTTATTTTAAAAACTTTTTAGAATTTATAAATGCAAGGGATTTCAAGGTATATTTAGTTTGTATTGTTGAATTTCTATACTCAAGTATTTATTTTTAGTGGAATCATTCCTAATTATATGAATACTTCTCTGTATAAGCACAAATACTAGAATTTTAAATAACTATAGTTTACATATGTATCCAATACATTTTAACTAATTACTGTTGTATAATATTTTAAATTAACATCCTTTTAAAAATTTTTTAATTTGCATTCATTTTGTATGTGTGTGAGTGCATGTGCATGTGTGTTTCTGACCATTTTTTCTGATTATTTAGTCTGATAACTTTTCTTTGGTAATGTTCTGTTGATATTAAAGTTACTATTGAAATGGATTTCTTGTTTGTGTAAGTATATATCAATAGGAATGTTTTTACAGTTCTCTTTGGTCATTATGTTTTTCAAGCTCCCTTTGATACCATGTGGTATTTCATTATGATTTTGTTGACTTTTTATAGAAGTCTGTTCAAGTAATTCTCTCATAAATACAAAGTATAAAAATGTGATTTATATTAGCTTGTAATATTTTCAAAATTTTACTAGATGTATATTAACTAGAATTGTGGTAGGCTGACCATGGAGTAAGAAAGATATAATATACATATTTCTTCTGAAATGACATTCAGTCATTCAAGTTGAAATTCGTACTATAATTTTTTGATTCTGCTACTTTTCTGCCCTCATTTAATTCGACTCATTCCATATTTTCTAAATTTATCTAAATTTGTTGTGCTTGTCTTTTGAGACTTTTTGGGACTTTTGTCCAAATGATTAGTACTATGAGAACAAATATTAATATATATATGTATATGCACTCAACTGAGCATAGATATATAAATGTATTAGAAAGCCTGTCACTTATTTTTAAATGGATTGTTGCAAATTCAGTTTCATTTTCTATTTCTTGATAATGTGGAAAAGTAATACCAGTTTAAAGAGGAATTGTATATTTATGAAATTACTTTTTCAAATATTTACTCTCATGGAAGTGATGCTAAAAACACAAATACAATAAGCAATTTTAACAGTTGATTTTAAATCCTTCAACTTGGAGTAAATTTCATGAACTTAGAAAGCCTTAAACAAATGGAAACATTTGTGCCTAACATTCTATTTCATATATCAAGCTGGCTTATAACAAAGAATTCACTCTATTGTATGAGAAATACAAAAAATATTTCTTGAATCTAAATATGGGAATAGGACTATTGTTTCTTGGTTATTCTGTGATGTCGGTACTTTTCTTCATGATCCTCTCTGTCCAATGTCCACCAAAATAAGTAAAAAGAGAAATTTAAAAGAAAAATTGTAGGGAACACAAGTAAATTATTTTAAATTTAATCTACACCTGTTATACTGTAAGTGGATATAATAAATAAAAAGTAATTTTCTCCAAATGCAAAAAGTCTGTAGGGCATGCTTAAGGTATTTATGCTATATACAGAAATAACTGTAGCCACGAAGACTTAAATGAATGCTGAAATTGGGACAGATTTTATTGAACGTTCTACTAACACCCAATGATCAATTCTGCTTCCTTCAACTATTCCTGGTTGTCATTTTTGTTCTGTCTTGTGTTCAACCATTTTTAGAAGCATTTTCGTTGAACCACAAATTTTCCAAATTCAATGAAATCCGAAGCGGTGACACACATTTGCTTGAAGGTGCTCAAGGAAGCTACTATGGATGCTCCAGTCCATTGTGAAAGGCATCTCTGTGGAGAGTCTACAATCTCAATAGGAAGTTCTGTAGGTACTAGTGATTTCAGTTCATCCCTGAGCCTTGCTTCAAGGCCTGGGAATAGCGTATTGCCTCGGGACAAAACAATCTTAGGAAACATGCTATTTTGGATGTCCATGTCGCACTTCATTATGGTGTTGGAAACCATCTGAGAGATGCCTGGTTCTTTTATTCTTAGTTGCTCGGGTGTAAAAAGAACCTCATGTATTTTGCACAAGTCATCTTTGAGGCAGATGATGTTTCCATCTGGCAATTTGTACTGCTTCAGCACCTTTCCCTGTAGTTCTTCCTCCGGACCCATGGTAACAAAACAGGTCTTCTCTTTCATATCTTCTCCCACGGTTTTGTTGAAAATTGAAGGAAAATTATAACCTCTAAAGAGCAACAGGTGGAAGAAGTACTCTGTTATATCTCTTCCGGCTAGATTGAGTGTGGAGACAGTGTGAGGCAGGGAATAACCTTCATAGATGGCGACAGTGCAAGTAACCCCGTCCCCACTGTCCACTACCAGGCCAGTGATATTACCAGATGCATAAAGTGCTGCCACAGCATGATTGAATAAATAAAAGGCCGGAACATCAAAGTTTTCGAACATTATTTCCAGCATTTTTTCTCTAGTGTCCCGTGGGTTCAAGGAGTGCTCGGTCATCAATAGCGGATGTTCATTTGATTTAACGCCCAGCTCCAACTCAAATAGATGATGCCAGAGTTTTTCTACATCGTACCAGTTGGTCACCAAGCCACGTTCAATAGGATAGTGTAAACATAAGCTATTATGCATGCGTTGTGCTTCTTCTCCTACGAAGTACTTCTTCTGGTTGGCTCTTGCTGAAACTACATTGAATTTATGGTGTCCAATGACAGTATTGATAACCAAACGAGGTCCATTTTCTCCTGTCAGGCCTACTTTGCACAGTCCGGAACCAATGTCAAAAATGACAACTGGATTTTCTAATTCCCTTATACTAAACATGCCTGACTTTGATCTTCTAGACTTCAACAAAATCAAGAAAGCACACTTGGACCAATCCCTGTCCACAAGTACCTGTTTTAGTTCCAAAGCCCCCGATTTCACAGCTTACAAGATGTTACTGCAGGCTGGAAAACTTCCGTCCTTATCCCATGAACGCTGTCTCAATTCTGGTAATCTAGAGCTGGCCAAGGCTATTTGAGATACAGTTGCCAGGTATGCAACAATGCACCTATGGCAACAGTTGCTATCATCATAATATGAGTATCCTGCAAACTCAGAGGCCTGTCTTTAGAAAAAATTAAAGCTGTGAAGCTAGAGTTTTCCCCCAGAGAACTACTGTCTTTTTATTTTTAGCTAATGTATATAAGATGATGTACACTAACAGAAGGAAATAGGCATCAGGCACAGGATGAACTTTAGTGAGCATATAATAGTTCACTCAGAACACTCTTTTTTATTACTCTTTATGTTCCTGTTCTTGAATATAAAGTGAGTTAACTTTCATATATAATTCACCAATGGAATGTTTCCATCATTTTAGCTCATCCACAAACTCATGATGCATTTTGAAATTAGGAAATAAGAATCATCACATGACCTAGAGTTACTTGATTCTAGTATGAAATTATATACATTATGTTTGGAATACTTCTATAATTCTGGGGTATTCTAAATCTATGTTCATTAGCAAAATTTATCTCTAATTTTCTTATAGTATGCTTAAAGATCTTATACATGACAAATTTAAACATTCTAAATTTTAATAAATTTTATGAAACATTAGCATTATTTCTGCCTTTATTCATTAATTATTCATTTAAAAATATAATTGTATTGCTATTATTAAGGTGTTCTACAGAGGGTTTACTATTTCATAAGTTAGTTAATGAGCTAATAATTATTCACTTTCCCCCAGGTTCCCATTTGTATTCCTGCCCACAAGTTACATAGTTCATCTTCCACATAGTATATACTGAATAATGTGATTTCATTTGTTCACCTTCCTCCCTGCTTTTCTGCATGCACATTTTGCCCCATATAAAAAGAAAACAAACACTACCACCACCACTAGCAAGAATTATTTCCAATAATTTATTTCGATCAATAATAGCATTTTAAATGCTCAGAGGAGTTACACCATTGAATTCCTCCCCTACGTATATCCTACTTTAGTTTGTTTATGTGTGAATGCCTAGAGTCCTACATAGGCTATGTATGGTTCATTATATTTTGGATCTAGCTAGCACATATGAGAGAAAACATATGCTGTTTATCTCAGAGTTTGGCTTACCTCACTTGCCATGATTTGCTCTAGATCCATCCATGTCTCTGCAAATGACATAATATTATTCTTTCTAATGGATGAGTAAAATTGCATTGTGTATATATACCACATTTTTTATGAAGTTTTGACCCTCTTATAGGACATCTGGAATATTTTGATAACTTAGCTATTGTGAATAGTGCAGCAATGAATATGGATGTGCAAGTGTTTTACCATATCCTTACTTGTACTATTCTAGGTTGATCCCCAAGAGTGGTATGGCTGGGTCATAGGGAAGATGTACATTTAGTTTTTTGAGTAACTTCCTGGGTGGTTGTACCAGTTTACATTCCTATTACATACCAACCAGAATTTGTTGTTGTTTGAATTCTTGATGTTAGACAATCTAACTGGGGTGAGATAGAATCTCTAAAGTCCTTTTGATTTGCATTTTCTTTATGGCCAGAAATGTTTATCATTTCCTCGTGTGTCAATTTGCTATTTTTGTTTCTTCTACTGAGAAGTCTATCTCTTTTGCCCATTTATTGACTGGTGTATTAGTTTTCTGAGGAAATAATTTCTTGAAATTCTTGTATATTCTAAATATTAGATCTTTGTTGGATTGCGTTTGTATGTATGTGTGTGTGTGAGTGAGAGATAGAGACAGACAGACAGACAGAGAGAGACAGAGAGAGAGAGAGAGAGAAGAGAGAGAGAGAGAAATCATGTGGCTTGAACTGAAGTCCTAAGTGTTGTCCCTAACCTCTTTTGCTCAGGGCTAGTGCTCCACCATTTTGAGCCACAGCTCCACTTCTGGTTTTCCGTTAATTATTTGGAATGAGAGTCTCACAGAGACTTTCCAGCCCTGGCTACCTTTGAACTGTTATCCTCAGATCTCAGCCCCCTGAGTAGCTAAGAATAGAGGCCTGAGCCACTGGCACACAGCTTGGATGTGTTGTTGGTAAGCATCTTCCCCCAGTCTGTTGCCTGAATTTCCAGTTTAATAGCTGTTCTTTTGTTATGTGAAAGCCTTTTGTTCTTATGTAATCCCATTTGTCAAGTCTCTCTCTTATCTTCTGTACCTCTGGGACTGTTTTCAAAAAGTTCCTACCTGTTGGGCTGGGAAGGTGGCTCAGTGGTAGAGCACTTGCCTTGAATGCCTGAGACCCTGGGGTCAATTCCTCAGCACCACATAAGCAAAAAAAAAAAAAAAGCCTGAAGTGGCACTGTGGCTCAAGTGGTAGAGTGCTAGCCTTGAGCTGAAGAGCTGAGGGACAGTGCCCAGGCCCAGAGTTCAGAGTTCAGGCCCCACAACCCGACCCCCTCCCACCCCCCAAAAAAAATTCCTACCTATGCCTATAAGTTCTAATGTTTTCCTACTCCATCTTGCAGTAGTTTCAAAGTTTCTATGAAACTTTAATCTTATTTTGAGGTCTTTGATTCACTGTGAGATGATACTGGGATGTGGTGACAAAGAGGGATCCAATTTTAGTTTTCTAGATATGCATGGCCAGTTTTCCCAACAATTTTTTTTTTATCGTGAAAATACCGTATAGAGGGGTTACAATTACATGGGCAAGATAATGAGAGATAATGAGTATATTTCTTATCAAACATTGTTGCCTCCTCCTTTGTTTACCTTCCCATCCCTTCCCATTCCCCCCCCCCACCGCCAAAGTTGTAAAGTTCGTTTTCAACATAATGACTTGTACATCTCATTGTTGCAATGGTTACAACTGTATCCCTATTTAAATGATTTGTTTTTTCCCTTCCCCTCCACAAATTATACCAACATCAAATACAGTGAAAGTAGGGGGTTATATCGTGGGGGAGGGACATACAAAGCAACAAAGAAATAATCTTGTAAATATGTTAGAAACAATAGCATGAAAAAAAAACATTTGAATACTTATCCTGGGGTTCATTTCACCTAACATCAACTTATCTGACCTTTTCTGCTTGACTCAGACATATACTAGTTATTGCAAATAAGGGACACCATGGGACCTATGTTTCTTTGGGCCTGGCTTACTTCACTTAATATAATCTTTTCCAAGTATTTCCATTTCTTAACAAATGGGGCAATGTCATTCTTTCTGATGGAGGCATAGAATTCCATTGTGTATATATACCACATTTTCTTGATCCATTCATCTAATGAGGGGCATCTGAGTTGGTTCCATATCTTAACTATGGTAAATAATGCTGCAATAAACATAGTTGTGCTGGTAGCTTTAGTGTGGTCTTGTTTGTAAACATTTGGGTAAATGCCCAAAAGTGGCATTGGTGGGTCATAGGGGAGCTCTATGTGGAGTCCTTTGAGGAACCTCCATACTACTTTCCAAAGTGGTTAAACAAGTTTACACTCCCACCAACAATGCAGTAAGTTTCCCTTCCGTGTACATCCTCTCCAGCATCTGTTGTTATTAGAGTTTTCTTGATTATAGCCATTCTAACTGGGGTGAGCTGGTATCTCAATGTTGTTTTGATTTGCATTTCTTTTATGGCTAGGGAGGTTGAGCATTTCTTCATGTGTCTATTGACCATCCTTCTTTCCTCTTCAGAGAAGTTTCTCTTTAAGTCTTTAGTCCACTTATTTATTGGGTAGTTGTTTCTTTGAGGATTTCCCAACAACAATGATTGAAGAGACTTTTTTCCACCCTATGTTGTTGGCTCCCTTGTCAAATATCAGATAATTGTAACTGCGTGGATTTATTTCTTGTTCTTCTAATCTGTTCCATTCCTTTTGGGTTTTGTTTTGGGACAACACCAAACTGTTTTTGTTATTATAGCTCTGCAGTAGAGCTTGAGGTATGACATTGTGATACTACCAGCATGTCTTTCTTTGTCTAAATAGCTTTGGTTAGTCAAGATCTTTTGTTATTCCATATGAATTTTTGGATTGTTTTTTCTATCTCACTAAAGAACTTCATTGGGACTTTGATATTTATTGCATTAAATTTGTATATCACCTTGGCAGTATGGCCATTTTAACATTAATTCTATTTATCCATGAACATAGGAGTTCTATTTCTTGATATAGAGGTCTTTTGCTTCCTTGGTTAGATTTATTCCTAAATTTTTTGAAGCTATTGCAAATTGGACTTATTTTCCCAATTTCTTTCTGTTTATACATTGTTGGCATACAAAAAGGCTGCTGACATTTGTAGGTTGATTTTTGTATCCTTCACTGTTGCGAAAGTTATTGATCAGCTCTAGAATCTTGGGCATGGAGTGTCTCAGGTCTCTTAGTATAAGATCAGATTGTTTGCAGATAGGAATAATTTGACTGCATCTTTCCCTACATGATTTCTGACCTTCAGTCCTTAATATAATACATGAGTGAACTTACAATATCCTTTTTTCTTCTATGTTGTGAGGTGATTTTTGATTAATGGGTCAATTTACTTACTCATTACAAGTGTATTTTGATTTTAAATTTCTGTATTGTACCTCTTCTATTTTTCAAATGATTTTTTAAGGAATTATCTTTTAGTAGTTATACAAAAGGGTTTCAGTTCAAGGTATCAATTTATGAGGACAGTAAATATTAATCAATGCCTTGACTTCCAAGCAAATGGAGAGAGAAAGGATAGACAAATACTGTCCTAATATTCACTGTGTAAAAATGTTGGAAGAGGTGTTATTTTTCTTTTAATATCTTCTTTTGTTTTTGTGTTGATAATTTGTATAATGTTTTACTTTTACATACTAGTATATTTCCAATATTTCTTCT